GAAGGGTCAGCCTTTTTGCTCCTATGATGCTGCTTGGCCTGCTGTGTTCATCCAGCTCTGCACCTTGTTGTCTAGGAAAATGAGCAAATTGTGTTAAAGTTTCTTTGACAGTTTACTTCCCCCTGCTTGTCAAAGATGTTAGTGTGGTTGATGAAGACTACACCAGGCAGATAGAGAAAATTAATGGCAAGAGTGAAGTGTGTAAAGTGTATCAGCGATGTGCGATAAGAATGAACATCATGGTCACAGATATCATAGCTGAAAGTACTATGAAAGGAATCATATAGTTATCCATAGCATGGTGCACAAACCTGAGCTGATCAACCAGACTGAGTTGCTAAGCTTACTGGGAAATGTGGTTCATGCAAAAAATTCCCTTCAGATTGTTGGCGAACACAGATTCCAGCAATTAGTCAATGCATGAAATTCCAAACTACCTTCTGTTCTCGTAGTCCTCCTGCTCTTTAAGGTACTACACTTTATCCTAAACATTTGAATGTACTACATGCAGGAGGGTTGACATTCCAAGACTGATGCTTTGAAGAAAATTCTGAAAGCTTTGCACAGAATTTAACTCAAAATATTTGTTGTATTATGAAAGAGAAGATCACTAGAAATTTAAAGCCTTGATAAAGTAATGTGATGGTGGGGTAGTATTTATCAAACATGGTAGTCAGACTATTCAGATTAATTCCTCGTGGTTAATTTGAATTAATCACAAAATTGTGGATTCTGCGCAGTTAATAGAAGTAAACAAGGCACCCTGTGCCCAAGATGCTAGTGTCTTGTGCTGAAGGTCCTGAAGAATAGGATGTGGTGGTTCAGGAGCTGGATAGTGGTAATTTGAATGATTGTGACATATGACCAAACTTTTGTATCAAAAGGCCAATTGCCTTAAGTCAATACTCTGGTAACAAGTACTACAGTGTAGTCTAGTTAATGAAGGGATGTGACAATTAGATATGACTTAGAATCCCAACAGTGTGGAAACAGGCCCTTCTGCCCGACAAGTCCACGCCGACTCTGAGTATCCCACCCAGACCCATCCCCCTATAACTCACCTGACCTACACATCCCTGAACACTATGGGCAATTTAGCATGGCCAATCCACCTAGGCTGCACATCTTTGGACTGTGGGAGGAAACTGCAGCACCTGGAGGAAACCCACGCAGACACGGGGAGAATGTGCAAACTCCACGCAGACAGTTGCCTGAGAGTGGAATCGAACCGGGGCCCCTGGTGCTGTGAGGCAGCTGTGCAAACCACTGACCAACCGTGCCGTCCAATTTGCCAACTACCATGGTGGGATTCGTTGGGATAAAGTTAGCTATTTTGTGGATGACTCTCATCTTTTCTGAAAGATGGCACATGGCAGTAAAGTTATGTGAGTGTTTGTGCTTTAATGGAAAGAGCATTTAATCTTACAATGGAAGATAGCTTTTTGTATAGAAGCTACTGGTAAATTGAATTTATGGAAAGAACATCAACTTCTACCTGGTAGGCAACAATGCGCATATGGGGAGAACTAACAGCTTTGTCATTTGGTCTACTGGATGATTAAACTGTTCTTAATTTGTTCAGGTATGCAATAACATCCACAATGAAAATGTGCTGTACGTAGTGATATTGAATGCTATTTGGATTTGATGAGATAATGGGATAGCACCCTTGCAAAATGTAATGTATATTCTACAGAAGTTTATACAAAAATCTGCACAACTTTTGATTTTCAAAGTTGAACTGCATATTTGGATCAAATATAGAAAAGATAAATGATGCTATGATGTTTTTGCCCTCATCTGTCCGAGGGCATTTCTTTTACACAACAAAGCCCAATTCTTTCTTTACATGTTTTAATGTTGCCACTGTATTATTACAACTTTTAGATTAGGGAAGCATAATTTATCTTTCTTGTAGAAAGAGAACTGTTTGGAGAAGCATGATAAAATGAAGGGTCACTGAACCAGAAACATTAGCACTTCTTTCTCTCCACAGATGCTGCCAGACCTGCTGATATTTCCCAGCAATTTGTTTTTGTTTGTGCTCTACATGGTAGAATGATTGGCTTTTTAAAATGCTATTTCTTTAAAATATTTTTTGTCTCATCTTAAATTTTATTCATGTTTCTATTCCTTAACATTAGCTCCCACCTGAGTGTGTTGGACAGATGACCTGCTTACAACACTGTTGAATAAGTGAACATCAGTGTTTTGGGAGTTATTAGATGGAAATTTTTTTTTTTTTTAATCACTGAATATATGAATGTAGCTGACCTGTGTTCAGTTCAAACTAACAGCGCAGCAGAACTCAGGAGCTTGGCATAAGGGAATCATGTGTCAGATACTATGCTGAAATACTCTGTTTGAGTACTGTTCTTTCTCTTTAAAAAAAATTAATCAACCGGTTTGTACACTTACGACACACCTCCAAGGCCGCAGGGACTTGTACTCAGACCTTGTGGCCTAAAGGTAGAGACACTACCACTGCACCACAAGATGTCCATTTGCATTGAGTTAGCACTGCATCTGTGAGTTACATTCACAAGAACAAATTGATAGCAGCTGTAGTTTAACTTTTACTATAAGACTAAGTCAATGACTCCTCAACAGGAAGCGATCATTGACTGCTGCCTTATTCTTTAAATTACAATTCTTTACAAGCAGATTAAATAGTGTAACGACTCTTGGATGAGAAGAAAAATGCTTATGAGACTTGGATATATTTTTCATAAAACCCTGATAGTTTAGAGCCGCTGTGTAATAGTTCACACCTCCAAACATTGCTAAAGTAAGTTGTTCCTGGAGGCAAAGTTTCTGCTTTCCCGTCAAGATATTAAGCAATCAATCATGTTTCAATAGGGTGCTCCCTGAAAAACTTCACGCTGATTCCCCTTATGGTTGGAAAGTTCCCACCTCTAACATAACCTTTATTACTCTCCTTCCTATATTCCTTAATTTATTCACGCTATTTATGTGTCAGCACACTCCTTTGTGAACCACAGATCATGGTTTAAGTTCCACCTGGGAAATATTCTTAAAATTAATTTATAGGCTATAGGTATTCCTGGCAAGGCCAGGATTTATTGCACATCCCTATATATCCCTTAACTGAGTGGTTTGCTATGCCATCTCGGGTCAGTTAACAGTCAACCACATTGAAACTCAGGCCAGACTTCCTTCCCTGAAGAATATGAGTAAATGAGACAGATCCAGTGCATAAACATAATTGTACTGTCATCAGTCCTAACCTGCAAAAATGAATGAGAAACTATACAAATCATTTGGTCACTTGCTGATAGAGGTTTGTGGCTGACTTAGTAATTCTGTCAGTTGAAATCAAAAAGCACAAGCACGGAGTCTTATGTCATTCCTGCTATTTTTGAACAAAATAAATCTTTAGAGGGAGGAAAGGATTGCTAATTTTGAGCTATGACTGTAGCATTCATAAATTTGTCCCCTTTTCTGCTCCCTGGCACTTAGCTAACATTCTTGGCACTGACACCGCTTGGCTTTTCCATTCAATACCACATGATATTGCAGCACTCATAGTCAGCAGTTGAAATAATTTTGCTTTGATCATCTCTTCCTTCCCCAGCTTAAATCTGGACACTGCTATTGATTTTCAGCCCCAAGTACCCTATTTGGCAAAGCTCTGTTACTGAGAGAAATTCTGTTTCTCTTCAGATCCAACTTTTCTATTCCTCCAAAGTAGTTCAGCAGTAATATCTTGAACAGCCACCTGCAGATCCTTGATATTTTCTGAATGTCTGTCAGTAGCTACCTGAACTATGTACAACAAAAATTATTTTAGTTGCAACAAAACCTGCAGATCAAAGTCATAGCCACATGTCTGTGACTGTGACCATGGCTTGCTGTTTCCTGCATTTTTGTCTCCATTTTCAAATCTCTGAATGACTTCATCTCGTCCTATCTCATTGGTCATCTTCAGCCTTGTGTCCTTATACACACACTTCTCTTCCATGTTTTTATTCTCGTTGTTTAGTTTACCATTTGTTTCTTGCTTGTATCTCAGAATCACTGGCTACTTTATTGTCCTCTGTCTTTCCTCTCAATTTTCTCCAAATATCATTAGTTGCTTTATCAATGACCTTCCCTCTGTCTTAAGGTCAGGAGTGGCATGGTTTGCTAATGAAAATGTTTAGGCCAAGGTGGGCAAGTGACCCTTGCAATGTCAGCAGGCGGTTTAGAGCCTTCAGATTTAAATTGCCTACTTCCTAATAGAAAAGCACCCAGTTTACATTTGATATCATCCTGTATAGCACAGCTATGATTGCACTTTTTTTAAAAAAAATTCATTCATAGGATGTTGCTGACAAGTTGAGCATTTTTTGTCGAACCCTAGTTGTCCTTTAAAAAGTGGTGGTGCTGCCTTGAACCACAGTGGTCCACTTTGGTGTAGCTACCCCAACAATGCTGTTGGGTAGGGAATTTCAGGGCTCGTGGTGGTGTTCCCATGTGTCTGCTACATTTGTCCTTCTAGATGGTAGTGGGCGTGAGATTGAAAGGTGTTGTACCATCCATTCAGATGATTATTTTTTCCAATCTCTGTGTCACAACCAAATCACAAATGGTGTAGAGTTTGTCAAGAGTAAGTAGCCATACTCGTTTTCATTCGGAAAATATATTTCAATAAGACTTAAAAATTCATGCCTGTCGCTCTGAAGGTTAATGTTCTGAAAATGTTTTATTTGGCAGTTTGGAGCTGCCTTACCTGTTGATGTATTGAGATTTGAAGAAGAAACATTGACGGCAATACTGAGAGTAAAAAGCAGGTGGGTGTGCATAGTAACGATTTAAAGGTACTTTATTCCGATAAATATTTAAATAAAATCATTGTAGTGCTTTTTTTTATTTACAAAAACCTCATTGAACTTAAAAACGAAAAAGTTCCAAGTGAAAAACTGGTTCATGGTGCATGACTAGGTCAAGAGCTCTTTGCTTGCACTGTCTTCTGCCAGAACCAGACTTTTCTCTGCAGTCATACTAGAGGGGAACAACAGCTTGCCATTCAGTTTTGTTCTATCAACCATCTCCTTAAATGATTCTTGCTTTCCTCACTTCTCTCTCTCATATCTTCTTCTCACCCAGTGTGAGGAACTCATAGATTTCTGCGTGAAAATAAACACACTCCCATTCATTCATTGAACCTAACGTTCCCTTGCCTTATCCATGAATTGGACTGTTTCTGCCATTTCTTTCCTGTCATGTTCCCTCATGCTCTCTCTGCGATAACCTTTTTCATAAGACCCAGATCCTACTTCCTTTAATCCATTACTACTAAGTGACCACATTCAATTTCCTTTCCTTGCCAAAAGTGCTAACTGGCATTTTAAAACATGATACTATCTCGTTAGACCTTTTCCCTCATTCTTTCAAAATTACCATGGCCTCTAGAAAAAGGCAACTTTCACCTTTCTCTCATTGCAAACTGCAAGTACCTGTCCACCCTCCCTTTGCTGTCAAATGTTTGAACATAATGGTCCTTCCCAAATCTAAGACCAACTTTCCTGCGAAGCTTATTTTTGATCTCTGTCCAGCTAACCATCCTTGCCAGAAAATTGAAACAATGCTGATAAATGACAAAAATTACACATTTGTTTTGTATTGCATTGTATTATCCATTCACAATCATTTTGCCACTGTTGGCAGTTTCATCGATAGCAGTAGCTTCTAATGAAGTTACTCTGTTATCCAGCTCAGTCGTATGACCTCACTTGGTTCCATATTTACCTAGTTGATCCTACTCAGGTTATTGAAATAATGCATTTTTGGTCACAATTTGTTCATCATTAACAAGCTACCCACTTATCAATATAATTGGAAGCTACGCTCAGTTTCGGGGGGGACTACATCCAGGACTACATTTCCACCATCTCTCGCACGCATGCTCTTCTCAGCTTTGCGCTTGCCGGGTGTCCTATCTTTTCTCAGCTGTGTTTACCTACAGCCAAATATTACGAAGGACTGAAACTATTGTCTTCGGCCTTTAACCCTGTACTGTGAGCCACATTGTTCACAATTTTGCCAAGCTATTTGATGCTGAGCTTTGTTCAATGATCCGTCCATCATAAAAACCACTGTTGGGCTGTGAATGTCAATGGCACAGCAAACTTTAATACCCATCCCTAATCGCCCTTGAGAAGGTCCACTTTGGTGTAGCTGCCCCAACAATGCTGTTGGGTAGGGAATTTCAAGCTGATGCCTTGAATAGCTGCAGCCTATGTTGAAATGTTGGCCAGGATAACAGGAATAAACTGCACACGCACACACATGCCAAAATAGTGCCTCTGGTATATCCACCTCATCGTGTGATTCGGCTCTCATCCAGATGCCGAGCCACGTGTTTGCCACCACCAGGTTAGTTATTTGAGTACGCTTCTGACCGGTTCCATTCTCTATTCTTTAATGTTCGGGTCATCCAAAACTCTACTGTCTGTGTCTGCTCTGACAGCTACCTTCCGCATACATCTCCCATGTCCTTAATGACCTTGTTAGTTCCAGGTCACTAAACACCTCGGATTTACAATTACCTTTGTGTTTAAATTCTTTTTTGACCATGTCCTTCTCAGTGACATTCTTTACCCATTCTACTTCCAACTTGGTTCCTTTGACTCCTCTAGAGTAGTCCACCCTTTTTCTCCACCCCAACCTGTCATCATTTGAGCCCTGTGCTCTAGATTCTCTTGTTAACCCTCTCAAATTTTATACCTCTTTAAGCCCTTCGTCAAGACTTATCTCTTTTTTATTAAAGAATGCTTCAAGTCATTGCTCAAAATGTCTTTTGAGGCTGCATTTTATATTTGCTTCATTTCTTAAGTATTTCGGAATCAATTAGTTTAAAGTCACTGTAATTTTTAAATGTTTTAACTAACAACACTAAAATAAATGTCAATGTCTAACACTTGCAAGTTTTTTTAAAAAGTATTTCTATTTACAGTGGCCTTGTGAAGCTGTGGAGTGCACTGACCCTGCTTGGATCTTATCAAAATCAGAAGTGTGCTTTCAGAGTGATGCAGGTATTGTATATTATAAAAGAATAATTAATCTTTTCAAGTTACTCTTTAATCACAAAACATAAAGTAGAAAACGGTTTTCTTCAGCTTTACCTAATGGTTGTATAATAGGTTCATCATTTTATCAAAGAAAACACAAACCCAACTTTTACAGCATTGTAAATCATTATGAATTGAAGTATCCATTCTTTAATTTTATTCAAATTTTTATTTATTTTTCACGTAGGTTAAACTGAAATATTGTTTGTGTTCCTTGGAGTTGGTACTTTACATTTCCACCAGCTGATTTCTGTCTCTTCCTCTTTTTCACTTATTACTGTTCTTTCATTTGACAATATGCTGAATTCTCATAATGTTTCAGTCAAAATTTATTTCGATTCATCCATATTTATTTTCCCTCTTTCATGTGATGCTTATTTGTCTGTATTCTCTTGTCTCCTTGTCTCTCTCCTACTCAGCCTACCTCTACGTATAATCTTGTTACACTTATAATAATAATGCATATTCTCCCATTAATCACTTAGACCATTGCACTATAGAATATGAGCTTGTTTCAAGGTTGAGGAAGGCTTTAATAGTCCAAATTCTAATAGCATCCTGAAATTCACTGAAAATAGGACCAACCATGATGTCTGTGAATTCAGCAGGACAAGGCAGAGGGAGCATTTTTTGTTGGGAGGTTTATCTAGTTGGAATGATGACTGAAGCAGATCTGGAAGAATGATGCATGGGATATTGGTTTTATATTTCTTTCTCCTATTCTGTAGCTGTGAAAGAACCCATTAAAATGTAATAATTCCTGATGGAAGAAAGGAAGCTAATCTCTGATTGTATTTTACATCTTCAAATGTTGTTAAGCAGATTTTAAATTGGCTTATTGTTTATTTAATTAATAATTATTTGCATTTTTATCTCTTTATTGTATAGGTCTCGCCATTTCTTCTTGCACTATCAAGCAACAGTAGAGAATTTGTGTTAAACTGAGGTCATTGACAATTAACAGGTGTTTAAAGTGACCTGCTCTAAGAAATGCCTTTTTGTGCTCAGAGAGTTATTCTTAGTATCTTTCAGAGCCCATTAAAGATGGGTCACTGGCACATAGACAGCATGTTGATGCCACAAAATGCTTTTCTTCGGACTGTGCATCTTCAGGTTGGCGAAAGAGCTGAACTTACCAAAGCTTTTTCCCAGAGTGATGTATTTACCTTTTCAGAGTTAACTGGTGATACAAACCCATTACATCTCAATGAAGATTTTGCCAAAGACAGCAAGTTTGGAAAGCTAGTTGTACATGGTGTACTGGTTTGTGGATTAATGTCTGCTGTTCTGGGAACCAAAATACCCGGATGCGTTCTTCTGTCCCAGGAACTCCGGTTTCTAGCACCCTTGTACATAGGTGAGCAGGCCTCAGCAATTGCAGATGTTGTTAAAATAAGGAGGTCAATCGCTTGGATTACTGTTTCATGTATTGTCAAAGAGACTAAGAAGGTTATAATGAAGGGGGAAGTGAAGATCATGTTGCCAGAAAGTAGAGATCAAAACGTATGACTTTATTATTGAAAATGAAAAATAACTTGGAAAAAGCTTTATTTGGACATACTAGTATTTGTAAATGGATGTTCTATGGAAATGATTGAAGATTCAAGTAATTTGAAAATGGATATTATTTCAAACAATACTCATTGGCTGATATGTTCGTAATAAATACCAATGATTGTAAAAATTGTCTTGTAACTACAGCAACGCAGAATTTAGTGACCAATAATCTGTTTTTAACAATACTAGTTGAGGAATCTATACTGACCAGAACACCAGAAGAACTGGCCTGATCATCCTTAAATAATGCTATGGGATTTGTTGTGCTATCTGAGAAGACCTTGGTTTGACATGTTGAAAGATGAAATGTCAAACAGTATAGCAAAATGGCCAAATTTCCAGAATGATTCTTTTTTTTTAAAAAAAAAAAAAAAAAAAAAATTCATTAACTCACCAAATATGTTTTGTTACTGCTTGGGCCAGCATTTACTGCCCACACCTTGTTGAGCTGGCGGTAGTAAGCTGCCTTCTTGAGCACTGCTGTCCATTTGAACCCACAACTTTCTGACTGAGGGGCAATGTATGATGGGATAGTGATGTTTCATGTGCTGTTGCCCAAGAGAGCACCTTCTACCCTTCTTGTGGCGTTTAAAAAATTTTCTATATTGGATATTTTGCCATAATATCACCTAAAAATAAAAAGGGCCACATGTTTTTTTTCTGTTGTGCTCCCATGCACACTAAAGGTTTGGGTGAGGTTGCCAGATAAATTTCACTTTGGACCCATTCAGAATTTTCTTTTTAGAGATCTTATCTGAAATTCAAACCTACCTCCTAGGCTTATAAACCCAATGCGGAACCCTCTGTACTACTCAATTCCACCAATATATTTAATTCTTATGCTTTTCAGTATGGAAATTACTTAGCAAAATTTGTCATAAATGGATGTTACAGTTTAAGAAGAGTTCTTTTGAAATTTGCATCAGGCCATTTTTTTTTTTTTGCAAGGTTTAAAGTTTGTGCTCCTTGTCTAGAATGAAACACACCAGCCTCGCTTTTCAGGAGCACGTTACTGCTGCTGCTGGAATCTGTACTGAAAACAAAAAATACTGGAAATCACAGCAGGTCAGGCAGCATCTGTGGAGAGAGAGCAAGTTAATGTTTCGAGCCTAGATGATTCTTCATCAGAGTTGTGATTGCCAGCATTTTTGTTTTCAGCCTTGCTTGTCAGTTTTGCACAATGTTTTTTCAAATTAAAATGTATGATTTGGTCATTGCAGTATGTAAACCATATATATCATGGCTCTGAAGATCACTGAAGTTGAAGTATATATGTTATACATCGAGCAAAATGTTGGTTTGGTTTAAATGTACCCCTGCAATTCAAGAATCCAAGTTTTTTTGCATTGTGGTTTTGAGTCAACAGAAGACAACAAAAGATATGTGCCCAGTCAACCATTGTTGCAGTCTGGAGACCACTGCCTTTTTAATGTATCACTTATTTTCCACTTGTTATCATAATTTAATTCTTTAAAAATTTATGAAAACATATTTGCACTTGTGAAAACTGAAAGAACTGAGGATGCTGTAAATCAGGAACAAAAACAGAAGTTGCAGGAAAAGCTCAGAAGATCTGGTAGGATCTGTGAAGAAGAAAATCAGAGTTAATGCTTTGGGTCCAGTGATATTTGTACTTGTATCTGGAATGGATTTTGTAACTAATCAAGGCTACTAAACAATTAGATTGGCTGGCTCAACATAGTCTATAATTTTAGCTGACTTGGGTCTTAGAATTAAAGTGAAAGTGAAACTTCAAATCTTACAAACCGATTACCTCTAACACCTAGAAAGACTGAGGCAATAAGTATATCAAACTCCACCATCTTTAAGATCCTAAAGTCACACATCAACCTGAAGTGGAATTGTATCACCTCTCCTTCAACGTTGCTGAATTCAAAGTCCAGAAACATTCTGCCCACTAGTGCTATAGGGTCATCTTTAGCGCATGGTATGCAGCGATATAAGAAATTTGTTCAACGCTGACAGTACATCAGAAGGGCAACTATGGATGTGCTAAGAGTGTAAAGGATGTACACAATCTGTAAATAATAAAGGGAAAATTTCTGAAAAAAGGTGATATTTCATTGAAGCATGTTGTCTTATACACTTGGAAAATTCACAAAAGTACAAAAAGTACAGGTTGGTTTTGATGCACCCTATCTCAACCTTGCGCAGTGAACAAATAGCTTGGGCCCTATGTTTGAGATTGTTGGTAAACTGAATCACCTAGCATGAATTGTAGAAATCCGAACACATGTTCACCATGCAAGCCATTTTTGCACAGCTAATGGCAGAGTGGTACAATTAGAATAGAAGTTATTAGATTCTTGGTCATGCACCTGCCCTTTTCTAAAATTGCTCTAATATTTATTGCATAAATAACAATGTGAAAAGAGGAGTATAAGAAGTCTGTGAACTGTCACCAAAGTTATTCAAAATTTATACCGAGCAAATATTCAGAGAATTAGATTTACTTTCAGGGTAAAAATTGGAAGTATGAACAAAACAAATTTGTGGCATACTAATGACAAACTTGTGGTACACTGCAGAACCAGAGGAGGCTTTGCAAATGATCATATCTCAGGTAAAACTCAATGTTTAGAATATGGATTTGAGTACGAGCATCAAAAAGACAAATCATGGTAATTAAAAGGAATATATTAGAAGAAAGGAATAAAGATTAAAGTAGATTGTGACCCACTGGAAGACGTTTACTTAGTTTGGACAAATTATAACAGAAGACGGCTGCTGTTGTGCAGAAGTTAGAAGAAGGGTAGAAGTAGACAGAAGAGATTGCATGAAGATGAATGATGTATTAACAGCAAGAAAACTCAGGCTTATAATGAAGAAAAGAAATCTGGAAGATGCCTCATTCTATCTACTTTCCCAGAAGTAGCAATGGAAGGAAATATTTGCCCTTCAAATGTGGAAGATAAGATGAATGCTAAAACTTACACATACACACCCTAAGACAAAAGAAAAAGCACTTGAAATTGCAAGACCAAAAGGAACTCTTAAAATGACATCCAGAAAATAAAAAGTGAGTATTTTGACATGTGATTAAAGCTGAAAAGCAATTGGGCTCTCCAGTAGATAGAGAACAGCTGAAAGAGGGGTTGACTCCGACATAGTTGGATGATGCCTGTCACAGATTGTAGTTTATCTACAACCAATGAGTATGTGAGGATAATGCAAGAAATATGAGTGGCACACCATGATAGCAGATCTCCTGACAGCAATCAGTGGCAGAAACAATTTCATTCACTATTGAAAGCAAATTAAAAGTTAATGTATTTTTTTATCTCTGGCAGGAAAGATTTTGATAAAGTGGCACAAATAGGCCATAAAAGTAGGTGTGTCGTAATTCCATAATGCTTCTATTTGCGAATTAAAAATGCTTTTCGCTCATTTCTCTCATCCTTATTTTGGAGATTTGGCCACTGACTTCCAATGGATTGGTCTACCATTAGCAATGTACTGCAGTGATGTGATGTTGTCTTCTGCTTGCTGCCCCTGCACACTTCCTTTCAGTGACTGATGTACAAGGACAGCCTAGTCTTATTGAACATTCCCTCTCTCATAGAAGCATAGAAGATAGGAAAAAGAGGAGGCCATTCGGCCCTTTGAGCCTGCTTCACCATTCATCATGATCATCGTCCAACTCAATAGCCTAATCCTGCTTTCTTCCCATAACCTTTGATCCCATTTGCCCCAAGTGCTATATCTAACCATCTCTTCAATACAGTCAATGTTTTGGCATCAACTACTTCCTTAATGAATTCTACAGGCTCTCCACTCTGGGTGAAGAAATGTCTCCTCATCTCCGTCCTAAATGGTCTACCTGAATCCTCAGACTGTGATCCCTGGTTCTGGACCCACCCACCATTGGAAACATCCTCCCTGCATCTACTCTGTCTAGTCCTGTTAGAATTTTATAAGTCTCTATGAGATCCCCCCTCTTTCGTCTGAACTCTAGTGAAAACAATCCTAACCTAGTCAATCTCTCCTCATATGTCAGTCCCACCATCCCCAGAATCAGCTTGTTAAACCTTCACTGCACTCCCTTGAGAGCAAGAGCATCCTTCCTCAGAAAAGGAGACCAAAACTGCACACAATATTCTAGGTGTGGCCTCACCAAAGCCCTATACAACTGCAACAACACCTACCTGCTCCTGTACTCAAAACCTCTCGCAATGAAGGCCAACATACCATTTGCCTTCTTTACCGCCTGCTGTACCTACATGCTTACCTTCAGTGACTGGTGCACAAGGACATCCAGGGGATCCTCCCCTCTCCCAATTTATAGCCATTCAGGTAGTAATCTGCCTTCTTGTTTTTGCTTCCAAAGTGAATAACCTCACATTTATCCAAATTATACTGCATCTGCTGCTGATTTGCCCACTCACACAACATATCCAGATAATGCTGAAGGATCCCTGCATCCTCGTCACAGTTCACCTTCCAACCCAACTTGGTATCATTTGCAAACTTTGAGATTTTGCATTTTGTTACCTCAACTAAATCATTAATATATATTGTGAATAGCTGGGATCCCAGCACCGATCCCTGTGGGACCCCACTAGTTACTGCCTGCCAACTTGAAAAGGACCCATTAATTCCTACTCTCTTTCCTCTCTGCCAACCAGTTTCTGATCCATCTCAATATACTTCCCCCAATCCCAAACACTTTAATCTTGCACATTAATCTTTTCCGTGGGACTTTGTCAAATGCTTTCTGAAAGTCCAAATGTACCGCATCGACTGGTTCCCCCTTGTCAACTCTACTCGTTACATCTTCATAGAATTGCAACAGATTTGTAAAGCATGATTTCCCCTTTGTAAATCCATGCTGACTCTGTCTGATCCTGCCACTGCTTTCTAAATGGTCTGCTATAAAGTCCTTGATAATGGATTCAAGAATTTTCCCCACTACTGATGTTAGGTTTACTGCTCTATAATTCCCTGTCTTCTCTCTACCTCCCTTTTTGAATATTGGAGTGACATTAGCTACCCTTCAATCTGCAAGGACTGTTCCAGAGTCTGTAGAATCCTGGAACATGACCACAATGCATTCACTCTTTCTAGAGCCACTTTCATAAATACTCTAGGATGTAGATTATCAGGCCCTGTGGATTCATCCGCCTTCAATCCCATTAAATTTCCCAGCACCATTTCTCTACTAATATTGATCTGTCTGAATTCTTCCCTCTCACTAAATCTTGCATTCGTCAACATTTCTGGTATTTGATTTATGTCCTCTTTTGTGAGGACAGAACCAAAGTATATATTCAGTTGCTCAGCCATTACAATCACTCAAATAATAATCTGCCTTTCAATTTTTGCTGCCAAAGTGGATAAGCTTACATTTATCCATTTAAACTGAATCCTCCATGCATTTGCCCACTCACTCTGCCTGTCCAAATCACACTGTAACATCTCTGCATTCTCCTTGTAGCTTACCCTTTCATCTAGCTTTGTGTCATCTGCAAATTTTGAGAAATCACATTTAGTTCCCTCTTCTAAATCATTAACATATATTGTGAATAGCTGGGGACCTTGTACGGATCCCTGTGTATCACACTAGTCACTGCCTGCCGTTCAGAAAAAGACCCATTTATTCCTACCCTTGTTTTCTGTTTGCTGGCCAATTTTCTATCCACAGCAATACACTACCCTCAATCCCATGCACTTTAATTTTACACACTAATCTCTTATGTGGGATTTTGAATTGAAAATTACTCGCAATAATCATGAACATGAATTTATTGTTGCAAAAACCCATCACGTTCACTAATATCATTTAGGGAAGAAAATCTGCCATTGTTATCTGGCCTAATCTAATGTTACCGCAGACCCACCACAATGTGCTTGATTCTTCACTGCCCTCTGAACTGGTTTAGCAAATGAATCAATTAAAAGGCAATTTGAGATGGGCAAGAAAAATTGACCTTGCTAGTGACTCCCACATCTCATGAAAGAACAAAGAGAAAACAAATTATAGAGCATATGCAAAATATAATTAGGTGATTCATTTCAACTAGTCAATGCTGGTGCTTGTAGTCCACATTAGGCTCCTTCCATTCCTTCTGCTTCCCTTTCAGCTTGTCTTTTCCTCGAATTCACTCAGCTAATTTTCTAAAGCATCTAAGCTATTTGCCTCAACCACTTTGCAAGTTCCACATTCTAATCATTCTTTGAGTAAGATATTTCTTCTTATCTCCCTATTAGATTTATTTGCCATGCTTCATTAGTAGTTAGTTCTCTAGTGCGCCAACAATTTATAATATGTATACAATATACGAAATACCAAAAGGCCAAATTTGTACAGTTAGAGGTGAAGGAATAGTGCTGATAGCTGATCTTCAAAAAGAGCACAGACGTCCTCTATTGTGATGTCACTTTGAATTTGTCGCCTTCTACAGGGAATGTGGGGTCCAGCAACAAGGCAGTCAGCAAGCAACTTGATCAGCAAATAAAATTGAAGAATTCTCATCAACAGCAAAGTAGAAAGAAAGAAACAGAGAATATAAATCACTGTGCAGTTATTGAAATAAAAATTATAACTTACAAGTGAGGTTGAAGCAGAAGTATAAGTATTAGAACATAAATCCTTAAAAGACATCTTCTGTCTCTAAATATCATTTTGAGGCTATGGGGTCTGTACTTGTAAAATTATAGCTTTGGGGCGATAGTGTTTGTTCGACAGAAGCTGTATCTTGCAGTTCTGTCACAATAGTAATTCAGTAATAGTAAACTTAGTAATTCCTGATTGAATAATGCTTAACCTTTGTATTGATCCTTGCAGTGGGAATAGTGTATGGTTAATTGAAATTCGCAATGGACCAATCGCTTCTATGCTAGCTTCACCTTTTTTAATGGGCTTGAATGAACAAATACTTTCCTTTTTTTCTATATTTTCTCATTGTTCTGTAATAAATATAACATTCTAGTAGTGAGGTACTAAATCTATGAATTTTATCCCTGCACCTATTTTCTACCTATGTACTAATTATGTAATTTTGCCTTGTTTTGGTGCTCAAATTTTATATTGATGATTCTCTGCTGGGCAGTGATTCAGCATTGATCTCTGATGCTTTCTTGATGTATGGTGCTGATGAGCAGTAAATTGCAAATCAATAATCCTAAATCGAGGTTTTAGACCAGTGACTGGACTTTACAAGCCCTTGCTAGAATCTGTAATTTTGAATATGGCATTGAGGACTATTATTATACATTCCTGTATTTCTCAGCTTTGAATTATGATTGGAACTGTCTGTATTTATTTGTAGAGACAGGCTTGAAGCAAATACTTGGCATAATAAACTGAGGAGCCTTGCTGAAAATAAAAGCATTTAAATATGTTATGAAAAAAGTTCTTTGCTCTTTTAAGAGACTAGCAAATGGAAAAATATATCTAGAGTCTTAGGTGCAGGATGACGGTCATTTTCAGATGTTTTATTGTGAATTTTAAGCTACTTTAAAATATTTAACTTCACTGAGGTTTGTATTTTTAATTAGGATTACATTGCATAGACCTACCTAAGATATACCGCATAAAAAAGGCTATTTGACCAGACTAGACCATTGTGATGTGCTTCACTTGAGCCTGCTACCATTTTTCCAAATCTACCTTCATGACCATCTATGCCCTTCTGCTTGATATGCTGGACTAGCTTCCCCTTAAATGCAGATATATTGTTTGCTTCAAACACTCAGTGCGATACTTGAGTTTCACAGTTTCATCACTCTTTAAGGAAGGATGTTTCTTCTGAATTCCCTGTTGGATTTTCTGATACCTATCTGATATTGATTTCTTCTAGTTAAGCTCTTCTCTGCAAGAGGAGACATTCTCTTTCTACTCGGTCTATGAAATTTTTAATAATTTTAAAGGTCTCTATTAGGTCACACCCAGCCTTTTGTCAGGAGAAAAGAAACTCAAAACGTCTATCCTTAAATGTATACCCAAGCACTTCTGAGGCCATCCTTGTAAATTCTGTCTGCACCTGCTCCAGTGCTTCTATATCCTGTTTATAATCTGGTGACCAGAACTACATTCCATACTGTTAAAGGTCTAACCAAAATTCAGGATTATTTTACCACTTAGCAATATTATCCTTTGGGAAATAAAGCCTAGAATTTGATGTGCTTCTTTCTTAAGGCCTAATTGCAAATTTTAGTGATTAGTTTATTTATACCCTGAGACTTCTTTGCTCCTCTACCCGACATAGTCGTGCACTTTTTGACAAATAAATGATCTCCAGATTCTTCCAACCAAAATATACCCATAATTACCTGTGTTAAACTTAATTTGCCAATTATTTATTGAAATCCTTCTAAACACTCAACATCCCATCCCCAATTTGGTATTATCCGCAAATTGAGAAATCGTGTTTACAATTCCAAGGTCCAACTCATTAATATAGGACAAGAAAAGCAGTGATTCCAATATTGATCTTTTTGGAACACCACTTTTCATCTTCTGCCATTTTGAATAGCTTTTTTTTATCCTGCTGCCTGCTTCCTGTCTTGATGCCAGTTAGCAATTCATTCTGCCATGTGTCACCTGACTTCATATTCTCTATTTTCATTGATCTGTAATGGGACAACTTATTGAAGGCCTTTTGAAAATCCAGGAAAAAACAACACATTCACTGCATTACCACCTTCCATTTCCTAAGTTATCTCTTCAAAAAAAAATTGGTCAAGTAAGATTTTCCCTTTTGAAATCCACACTTTACCATGTATTTAATTTCTAGGTGTTCTTCTATGGTCTCATTCAGTATGGATTCCTTCAAGTTTTGTATAACTGATGTTACTACTACCTCACGGCACCAGGGACATGAGTTCCATTCTAGCCTTGGGTGACATTCTGTGAGGAGTTTGCATGTTCTCCATGTGTCTGCGTGGGTTTTGTCTGGGTGCTTCAGTTTCCTTCCACAGTCCAAAGATGTGCTAGTTAGATGGATTGGCCATGCTAAATTGACCATAATGTCCAGGGATGTGCAAGCTAGGTGGATTAGTCATGGGAAAATGCAGGGTTATGGAGATAGGATGGGCATGGGTCGGATGCTGTTCAGAAGGCTGATGCAGACTTGATGAACCGAATGACCTCTTCCTGCACGGTGGGGATTTTATGATTCTTTGTTAAGCTAACTTGCCTAAACTTGCCTGGATATGTTCTGTACCTATTCTTAAATTTAGAAATTACATCAGTTATCTACCAGTCCTCTGGCACTACACCTTACTCTAATGAATCATTAAATGAATGTAATGTCTCTGCTATCTCTTCCCTAGATGTTTTTAAAATGCAATCCATCTGGGGCAGAAACCTTATGTTATTTGAGTTTGATTTGTTTATTCAATACGTTCTTGTTTTAATTTTAGAAGCACTGATATAATTGATTATCTCATGATTTAATCTCATATCTCCCTGTTCCTGATAAATTTATTCCTGATAAATGCTGAAGTGAAATGATTATTTAATATTTTTGTCATCTCTTTAGTCTCCCTGTAGTATCATCCTATCTATCCAATAATAGCCATATTCCTATCACAACCTTTTTTTATTGTTGTGCCTGTAACATATTTTATTGTCTTGTTTCATGTTCCTTTATAATTTAATGTCATCGTCTCTCTTTGTCTTCCTTTTTTTTTAACTTCTATTCTCCGGGTATTCCGTCTTCTGACGCTGTCTGCTACTATTTTTTAAATATACACCCAACTCCTACCATTCAGTTGTTTCCTTGCATAATCACGCTTGGAGTCTCACTAACATATTTAGTTTGTTTCTTTAGAATATGCATTTAAGTCTTTGCTATGAGTGACATTAAGCAATGAAATGCGCCCACGATCTCATTTCTTAAACATGCTGTGTCTAAGACGTATGAATGATGCTTCAATCCGATTTTATTCGAAATACACTTTTCGTACTTAAAAAAGGGATTATATGGTGCGAAATTCAAGCTTTCTTTGGCCTGGATTGTTGAACTGATTTCTGCTGGTTTACATATTTTTATAATGCAAGCACTTCAGGTGTCATTTCCCAATTAGTTTCAAACACGTTTCTTTAAAAAGAAATGGCGAAAGTGGAGTTGCCCGCGTTATGTTGCAACTGTGCATCGTGACCTGGCATCTTTCCAGTGTGCTGTGCCTGTGTTGCAGTGGTTTTCCTCCGGTGTGTGCAGCGCGGCACCAGCGAGCGCCAGAGGTGTCAGCAGCACAGTGGGAGGTGGAGTGTAGGACCCCGCGGTGGCAGTGTGTGCGGTGCCCTCACATGTTGCCGAGCACCGAGTCTGTCCGCCCGCCCTCGCAATGGCGTTCATGGAGAAGAAGAGTCCGGGCAAGGTGCTGCTGGACGATACGGTGCCGCTGAGCTGTGTGATTGAAGCCAGCCAGAACCTGCAGTCGCACACGGTGAGTGCGGAGAGACTAGGCTCCAGGCTCCGGGGAGGTGCCTAGGCCGCGGCTCCGCTCTGGAAGGCGGCCTGATACCGGTTGGGAGGTGATGTGAAAGCCGGCCTGTGGCAAGCAACAGGCCGGGATCCCGAGTGGTGCCCACTGTGGCAGAGCCAAGATGGGGCCGGTTCTCCTTTCGGCTCGAAACCTCGTCACTCCCCCGAGGACAGGACTGTTCATGTTTGTGAAATTATTTCAGTGTTCAGTATCTGCTCTATCACCGCGTTACACAATCACTGAACTGACACTGCCGAAGGGTTACAACATCCAAGGGATCCCTCCGACTTGGTGCAGTTTAACCCACTTGGTTCATTACTATGAGATAACAAGGTGTAGAGCTGGATGAACACAGCAGGCCAAGCAGCATCAGAGGAGCAGGAAGGCTGACGTTTCGGGCCTAGACCCTGGTTCATTACTATATTCACTCCAACAGAAATGTATTTATTAATACATTAATATTTTTATATTCTGTTTGTTACTAGCTTAAAAAAACAAGTTGTAAAAGCTGATGAGGTGTCATAATAACTTTAATTAACAACCATTCCTTGAGTTTGCAGCAACTGGTTGACTATACTTCTATCGTACATGGAACTTAAAACGCCCCTGCTGAAGTATTGCTTGCATGTATGTTTTAAAATCTGTCTGTAAAGTTCTGCCACAGCCCTGATCAAAGTCAGAAGTGACGTCTGATGTGACAATTGCACTATTTATTCCTCTTCATTCTAACACCACCTTGTCTTCTGTAGTTTCTTTTTTCCTGACAATCAGCAATGGTTTCACGGTCATCATTAGACTCTTAATCCCAGTTTTTGGTTGAATTTAAATTCTACCGTCTGCCTTGGAGAGATTTGAACCTGTGCTCCCAGTACGTTACCTGGGTCTCTGAATTGCTAGTCATGGAGCTGTACAGCACAGAAACAGACCCTTCGGTCCAACTCATCCATGCTGATCAGATATCCTAAATAAATCTAGCCCCATTTGCCAGCATTTGGCCCATATCCCTCTAAACCCTTCCTATTCATATGCCCATCCAGTTGCTTTTTAAATGTTGTAATTGTACCAGCCTCCACCACTTCCTCTGGCAGTTCATTCCATACACGCACCATCCTCTGTGTGAAAAAGTTGCCCCTTGGGGCATTTTCATATCTTGTCCCTCTCACCTTAAACCAATGCCCTCTAGTTTTGGACTCCCCTACGCTGGGTAAAAGACATTGACTATTCACCCTATCTGTGTCCCTCATGATTTTCTAAACTTCTGTAAGGTCCTCACTCCTCACTCCTCGGCCTCTGACACTACGGGGAAAATAGCCCCAGCCTATTCAGACTTCCCTCATTAGCAGTGATAAAACCACAAGGCCATTGCGTCCCCATTACGACCAGCGCAGCCCCTGTCTGTAGCTATTTTTATGTAAAATCGTAGGATACAACCCATCTGTTTAGGGGACTGATTGGCCTTTTCTCTGCAGTACTTTTTCCCTGTTGTGCCGTTTCATACGTATTTTTTTTCTTTCAATTTTATATTATCCTTGACTTCTTTTGTTCAGTATGGTCAGTTTATTCCCTTCCTTGAGTCCTTCCTCAGTTGGATGTATGTTTGCTGTGAATCATGAACTATTTTTTAAATATCTGCCAATGAACTTTCTGCGAGTGTGGTGGAGGCAGGTTTAGTTATGAGCTTCCTCCTTTCAGATGCTATTTGTGGTATGGAAGTGAAAATGCATGTTCTTCAACTGACTCAGTCACTTTTACTTCCTTTATTAAATCTTCAGTTAGATTTCTGGAGTGAACTTTCTTACCATGAAATTCTCCTGTTTTTCTCTAAAGTGAAAGTGGTTGGCTATACAATGTGCATACTTCAGATTAAATGACCTCCTGATCGGTCTGTCTCCCTCATCAAAACTGCTAAGTTGCAGTTTTGTAGCATTCTAAGTATTTTTGAAATATTGGTGACACAAAATAAAAGTTCTGATCTAATTAAGAAAAGTTACAAAAGATTCTTTGTTGTTCAGTGTGCAATGTATCATTGCCAAAGGAAGCTCGGATCAAATTTTAGAATTTCCTGTGTGAATGTAGTCTTTCAAATGAGAGAAATTTAGGAGCATTTTGTTCTGTGTTCCAAGTTGTGTTCTGTGGTGTCTTGCGTCCCTTTTTAATCCCGTTCTATCTCCATGAGTGTATTTTTCACACTGTTCTTTTTGTTCTTTTCTTTGCTCACGTCCAATTTTTGTTTTATGTCCAAAGCTCTGAAATTCCTCTCTTAAACATTGCACATCTCGAGCTCTCTGAAGCCTCATTTCTTATAACCTACATTGAGACCTGGCCTCACTGTTATTTTCTTTTGTGGCTTAATGTAAATTGTTTGATTGCACATTCTTTAAAACTTCTTGGGATATATTATTGTGTTAAAGCTACTTGAGATAGTTAAATATTGATTAATTATACCACCGAATAATCCGAGAAATGTTCCCTGTGGTTTTCGTGAGGGTCATCAGCATCTGCTTGTTGAGTTTTGTTTCCTGTTTACTGTGGGATTTTCTTTGTTTTCCTTTCCTGCTGCGTAACTTATTTTTGTTTGAGATGCTTGTGTTTATTGCAAAACCTTTTTTAAAAATTGAAAAAAGTGCACTGCTTATTTGGGGACAAATGTATCTAGAATAACGTTTCGTTGGTTATCTTGTAAAATGATCTTAGTGAAAGCATAGCATGTCTTATTCTTTTCTTTAGTGAATTTCTCTGTCAGGCTCAGTACCCACTCTTAGCTAAGGCAAAAGTAACAAATAACCAAAATATCTTGAAGTTCAGAAATTGCAAAAATATGCTAAAAATAAGTGGAAATAATTGTGGTTTAAACATTGTAAGTATTGTCTCTGGAACCACTCTCATTAACCTATTCTATATTCTTTCTATCGCGTTCATTTGCCCCTTACAATGTGGGCCCAAAATTGTATCCAATACTTCAATTGAATCAAAACCAAACGCTTATAAAAGTTTATAGTGAATTCCTTGGTTTTTATATTTTGTGCCTCTGTCCATGAAATCCAGGATCCCATACGTTTTATCAATGATTGTCTCAACTTGCCTGTCAGCATCAATGATTTGAGTACATGTATCCCCAGATGCTTCTGTTACTGCACCCACTTTAGAAGTGTGTCCATTATTTTCTATTTCTTTTCCTTTGTTCTTCTGACCAAAATGTATTGCAAAAAATCTTCACTGCATTTTTTTTTGATCTGCCACGTGTCTGTTCATTCCATGAACCCATCAATGCCTTCTTGAAGTTCATCATGACTGTCCTCACAGTTCACAATACATCTAAATTTTGTATCATCTGCACATTTTGAAATTATATTCTACACAACCAAGTCTCCTGTCATTAAATAGTTTGAAAAGCTATGATCATTGTACTGATCGTGGAGAAACCCCACTCATAAATCTTCCTGCAGTCTGTGAAACAACTGTTCACCTTTGTTCTTTGTTTCTTATCACTTAGCCAAGTTTATGTCCTTGCTGCCACCGTCCCTATTATTCTGTTGGCTTTAACTTTGCTGCCAAATCTATTATGTGGCATTTTATCAAATGCCTTTTTGAAATCTGTTTACTGCACACCAACTGCATTACCCTCATCAACTATTTCTGTTGCCTCATCAAAAAAAAACTAATTTTAAACTGACTGGCCTGCTGATGCTGGGTTTATCCTTACACCCTTTTTTTTTGAATAAGATGTAACATTTGTAACTCGTCAGTCTCCTGGTGTCACCTACATAGGAATGGATGATTGTGATTAGTACCTGTGCAGTTTGCTCTCCTCTATTCCACTCGATGTAGGGCCGTGGGGAGTCTTGTCGAGCAGAGAGATCTAGTGGTGCAGGTGCATAGTACCTTGAAAATGGAGTTGCAGATAGACAGGGTGGTGA